GAGCTGATAGAGTAATTAAGGTATGCTAGATCTTTTTCACTTTGATTTTGATTTTTAGTTTTAGTTTTGTTTTCCTAGGAGATTTCTCTAAGCTTTCTTGACAAATATCGATACAAATGCTATGATTTTAGTGACTAAAAGATTAAAAAAAACAATAGCTTTGTGTCCCTGTGAAACACCGCATCCTTTAAAGCATGCATCAATTTTAGCGAAATGAAAATTCATCAAAAGTTTGATATGGATGTTCTAGATAATACAAGACCAAATCAGTGAGGCTTCACTTTTGTCTCTGTATACCAGTCATTTAGCTTCGGGTTTGGTAGCTGAAGTCTTGCAATATATTTGCATGATAGGCTCTCTTACTTACAAGTTAGTTTCATGTTATCTCGTGAAAATCTCTAATTTGGTTGTCTAGTCTAAAGGATATGAATTTATTTAATTTAATTGAGCATCTAGCCGTTGTTGTTATTGTTTATGTATGTGTCTTTTGTGGTAATTTAGTGTTTTTACTTATGAAATTAGTTTATATGATTTTCATGATACACAGCTAGCCGAATGGGGATTTACATGACAATGTGGAGACCCAACACCCACAGCCACTTGATGTCGATATAGAGGCACAGAGAGAGGCAGCACCCTAATCTAGTGTCGGTAAGATGCTAAATTTTACTATTAAAATGAAATTCTATATTTTAATATAATGTGTACCTGTCACATTTACATATAGTGAGATTTGTTATTATACTTATATAATAATTATTGAGTAATATATCATGTATCCATGATCATGTCAAATCATCATTGTAAATTTTTTTTCCCTACTCAGCACAGCAAGTTAATATATATATATATATATAATTTAGGTAAAAATAAAGTGGGTGGTGAATTCTCATCATTCATTGCGTTCAAGCCAATAGTTACATAATTATAATGGATGATTCATGTTTTTGTACTTCAAAAGTTACAAAATTATAATGGATGATTCATGTTTTTGTACTTCAAAATCTTCATTGACAGTGTGCCAGTGTAATTTTGTTTTAACTTTCCTGCCCCCTTAGTGGCCCAATGTTATTATAACTTTAATATTGGGATCTATCATGATTTTCTCGACTTTTTATGCTATTATAATTTTATGTCTATAGTTGTTAACTGGGTATTTTAGCCGCAAGGAAGCATATTGCTTCATAATAATGTATTTGGGTTGTCTGCTTTTCTTTTTTTTTCTTTCATGTAGTGTTGAAAGCTCTTTCATCTCAGTAGATTTTATTAAGATATTAAAGTTACCTATATTGGGGAGCTTTGTTTTTGAGGGTTGAGTGAACTTACCTCTAAATTCTCTAGAGTGTTTTCCTTTTATCTTGTTGTGAGTTGATGGGTTTTACCTTATGTATTGCTTTGGTTTTTGTTGTCACGCCCCACTTTTTATTACTCGGAGTCATTACCAAATTCTTTAACTTAATTCAATTTCAGAGATAACATGCGGAAATAAACTCATACATTCAATCCGTAGAAGTGATTAACAATACTCTCATTCGTATGCAAAGTAAATATTACTTGAACTAACTTAATAAATTGCCCTTGGGCTTACATCATTAAAAGTACAAGAAGAAGGGTGTAACCCTTTATAACAATGGCATTCCGCCAACATAACTGAGGCCCCGTGGCCAACAAATAAGAAGATCCAAAACTGGTAGCACACCCTGCTAAACACCTGAAAAAGATTCAACAACGTGGGATGAACATATAGTCCAGTAGGGAACTCAACATGCTCCTTAACAATAACAACATTACAGATAGCTATGATCATGAACACCCATTCTCATACTAGAATAATAATGTGACAGTTTATACAAAATATATATATATATATATGAACTTTTCTTGAAAACAATCATTTATTTCACCGCTATAAGCGATTTATCCTCCTTTTTTCCTTTCATTAACCCCCGTTCCCAATCTTTTATAACATTAACAACTACTTAGAAAAATAGATTCACTAAGCCCATTACTCTTCCATTTGCCACACATACAACAGATGTGCCTTTTCAAAACATATTTGGCATTTCAATGCAATTCCAATTATATCATAATTATCCATGCACACCTCTATAAGAAAGATAACAACTCAACTACATACATAAAATCAATCAATGAGTCAACTCGTCCGTCCAACACTGTAACAAATACAATCCACAATGTTTCCAGATACACTGAAACAATAACAAAACAACACTGCACTACTAGCTATATGCGTAGTAAGCCAAATATACACTTCTCACCACAATCTACCAGTTTACCAGGCGCTAGCTGGAAGGGTATGGAACCTTAGATTATCAGCGCGTCAGTTCTCCAGGCGCTAGCTAGAAGGGTATGATACCTCTGATTATAAGCGCTGAACACATAAGTGTGTGGACACATAGGTGTGTGGAGTCCATCACACTGGAGTACAACCCCTCTCTTCTCCCAAACCAGTATACAAATATAATGTAATTCAGCATTTCATTACATACAATGTTCAATCAACAATGGTGTATTACATACACAGCAATTCAACACAACCACGTCATCCTCCACCGATGACCAAGGATAAAACCTCTAGATGCAAATACTTAGTACACCTATTAAAGACTCAATCACTATGAGACCACAAACCCGACAACAACATTAACATGGTAGTTCAAGATACAATTCCACACATGTGTGTGTTCAACACTCATGAAACAATAATCCAATTTTCATACGTATTTCAAAACACTTTTCCCATTTCACAAAACAAGTTCCACTTCCCTCTTTGTTTTAACAAAACCAACTCCGTCTCTTTAGTTGTCACAAAACCAAACCCACCCCTTTTATTTTACAAAAACCGATTTCTACCAAAAAGGAAGCCATAACTCACATTAGTACACTACATACATTTCAAACCCATTTCAAAGCCAAAGTTAACCCCTTAGGCATTAACACCTTCACCCACTCACATCAACAATAGAGAGTTACAATTTAGGTTCATTATTCTCCATTTTAATTTATCAATCAAAATATGATTTAGGCCTTTTTCCTTTATCAACTACAACATGCTAATTTACACTCCAATTAGCCCAAAACAACTCTCAATGATAACATAACCATTTTCAAATACCCAACCCTAGGTTCCTTCCCATGATTTCAAACAAATCCAACATGGATATGATTTTTATGCAATACAAAATTACCACATGTCGATCTATAGACGAAGTATTGAAAAAGAACAAGGAGAATCCCTACCTCGAATAGAGAAGACGGAGATAAAGACCAAAGACCCACGTGCTCCAAATCCCAAGTTTCTCAGATTAAAACAAAGCTCTCGCGAAGCTCTACCTTTCTTCCAAAGGAACTAGGGTAGAAGACCACCGGGAATAGATCAAATATAATTTAGGTAAAAATAAAGTGGGTGGTGAATTCTCATCATTCATTGCGTTCATGCCAATAGTTACAAAATTATAATGGATGATTCATGTTTTTGTACTTCAAAATCTTCATTGACAGTGTGCCAGTGTAATTTTGTTTTAACTTTCCTGTCCCCTTAGTAGCCCAATGTTATTATAACTTTAATATTGGGATCTATCATGATTTTCTCGACTTTTTATGCTATTATAATTTTATGTCTATAGTTGTTAACTGGGTATTTTAGTCGCAAGGAAGCATATTGCTTCATAATAATGTATTTGGGTTGTCTGCTTTTCTTTTTTTTCTTTTCATGTAGTGTTGAAAGCTCTTTCATCTCAGTAGATTTTATTAAGATATTAAAGTTACCTATATTGGGGAGCTTTTTTTTTGAGGGTTGAGTGAACTTACCTCTAAATTCTCTAGAGTGTTTTCCTTTTATCTTGTTGTGAGTTGATGGGTTTTACCTTATGTATTGCTTTGGTTTCTGTTGAGGGTTGAGTGACAATAGGCGTGGCTCCCCATTGGAACAAGCATGTGACTTCTAGTTTGATCTTTTCTTTGAATTATGAATTTTTTCAATACTTAAGCTTGAAAATAGGCCATTGATGGACAAAATAGTGAAATATGAACAACAAGGCCCAGAAAAATATTATGAACACCTCGAGAGGAACCAATGTAAATTGTAAAAACTCATAGAACAAGCACAAGACTTCCAATTTAAAAACTACTTTGAAATTTGTAAATTTCCAACACTTAAGCATGAAAATAAGCCATCGATGGGAAAAATCGTTAAATAGGCACGGAAAGGTCTAGAAATTATCATGACACCTTGGGAGGGATCAACATAAGTTGTGAAAACTTACAGAACAATCATAGGACTCTCAGTTGGAAAACATTTAGGCTTAAAAATACACCATTAGGGAGTAAAATCCTAAAATAGTCATTAAATCCTAACATAAGTTGTGAAAACTTACTGCTGTTGTGGGTTGTTGTTGTTGTAATGCTCTTCATTCATTAAACCCCTCAAACTGGGGTAAGTTGACTTTATCAAACTAATTTAGTGGAACTAGCTTCACTTTATCAGACTAATTTAGTGGATGTTGAACCTGTTTACTATTTTTATGCATAAAGATAGGCTTTGTTAATTTCATTATCCTCTACTGCAATCTAGGCTTTCAGAACAAAGGAGAAAGAAACTCCAAGCAAAGGAGGCTGAATTGAGGAGGAGGGAGCAGGTACTTGTTTATACTAATTAAAATTGTGGCTTCCAAATATGTTTTACCTAGAATTGAATGGCTATTTTTTTAATTTTATTTTCATGGACACTTGGTATTAATCTTATTAGTTTTTCATTTTATTTATATTATGCAGGATGTTTACATGTACTTCCGTGGCAGTGGCAAAGCAGCAGAGATGAAGCGTGAGGCTGCAAAACGGACAATGATGGCTGCGCTGCCATGATTCAGAAAGATTCTTTGGTTTGATAATGCTGAGAGAAATCGAAACATTCACTATTTTTTTGCACTTGTGCCTAGTCTAGTATTTATAAGCCTTCATAGAATCTTCTTAAAATATGTATGTGAAAGACAGATTCTGACAAACAAGTTTAAGTTAGGACATGTTGTGGTACATATGTCCTTTTTGGAAATTAATTTGGTTAGTCCTGTACTATGTATGAAATGAAATTATTGACGTTGGATTAGACTTGGTTCGTATGGAATTTGTATTATATATAGAATTGGACATTTCTTTTTAATGTTTTGGATGGTTGGAACTAGAATGTGTGCACGTTGTTGAATGCTTGATAATATATTTAGCGTTGATGGGTTATATTGGGTTATATTGAATCCTGTGTTATGTACGTACAGGTTGTATTAAACATGGATGTAGGTTGTTTAGAATTTTTTTGGAAAATAAAAAAAAAAACAGAAAATATTTGGCCACCAAATATTTTGGTAGCCAAATACATAGTTGGAATTTTTTGGCTACTAATAATTTAGTAGCAAAAACATTTGGCGACTAAAACATTTGGTAGCAAAAAGTAATGAATAGTTGGTTAAAATTTTCATGTAGAGCTTTTAGTGACTAAAAAATTAGTAGCCGAAATGTCACTATTGCCGACTAAGTATGGATTCATAGCCAAATGTTAACTTTCGGTGACTAATTCTTTCGTAGCAAAAAGTAACACATTCGCCGACCAAATGAATGTTAGTAGCCAAAAGTCACATTCGGCGATTAATACTTTAGTGGTAGAACCATACCTTTTCCCGACTAAACTAAGATTAGTAGCCAAATGTGTACACTTTCGGCGACCAAATAAATTTTAGTCGCTATAGCGACCCCGGTCTTTTCCCATTTGATTATAGTATCCGGACTTAGGTTCTGTAGATTCTGTCATTGTATAATTGTTGTTGTTGTTCCTTATTTTCTCATTTGGAGTTAGGATGTGTTGGGCAGGTTTGTTTCAGGTTGGTTGGGTTTAGAAACCAAGTGTTGCTGTCCAGAATTTTGGATCTTCGCTCGAGCGAGGAGTTGGTCGCTCGAGCGAGCTGTTGTTTTGGGTTCTTCGCTCGAGCTGGGGTTTGGTCGCTCGAGCGAGAGATTGCGTCCAGTATGGACCTGTAGCATGGCATTCTTGGCTCGAGCGAGCTTTTCTTTGCTCGAGCGAGGATTTCTTGTTTCTTGTCGCTCGAGCGACAAAGTCTTCGCTCGAGCGAGCCTGTCCAGTTTATATATGCAGCAGCGGGTTTTGATCAGTCTTTTTCATCTTCTTTTTGATTCCAAACCCTAGGTCCGACTTCTCTCTCTCTCTACTCACCTTCTCTCTTAGGTTTGATCTATTTTTTGTTGGGAATATAATATAAATAAGGACAAATTATATGTTTTAATTAATATGTTATTTTAATCACTTTAATTTTAGTTGGATTAATTTAGCACTGAATTTTTTATCGGCAATGCTGGGACCCAGTGGGGGGTGACCCCCAACACCCCACCTCCACGTGGGGAGCTGCCAAAAAAAAAAAAAAATTTGGACCAATCAAAAGGGACCCCAGCACCTCCATTGGGGGGTCTCATGCATTTTCCATTTTTTATTTTAACTAAAAATTGGTTCAATTAATTTCAATTTTTTTTAATCATCAAAAGAAGAAATTTTATTGATGAAGGAAGCAAAGTACAAATATAACTTACATTAATAAAGAAGGAAATCAAGTCCATGTATAGAATAAATGTAAATCACATGTTGATAATTTTAATAATTTTCTCTATAAAATTTATGAGCTTGTAGTATTAATTTTTTTTTTACTTTTTATTTTTATCAATAAAATAAAATAAAAACTTTATTGATGAAACTAACATACATATAATATATCAATGAAGACAGAAATGATGAGTACAAAACTATATAATACCAAGACAATATGAACCCAACTATATATGTGAGTATTAAAAAGCAAATCCAATCATATACAAGAACAAACACCACAATTTAGTGAGAAACCAATAAAAAAAAAAACCCCAAATAATAGAGCTAAATATCTTCCTGAGCCTATATACAATATGTACAATCCAAATCCCAATACAAAACATCAAACAGAATGTGAAAGTACTAGAAAAACAGAATTGCAGCAACCAGCATCATCACCAACCAGTAGCAACAAACTAATAGCCAAAAGAAACCAATAGCAGCAAACTAATAGCCAAAAGAAACCAATAGCAGCAAACTAATAGCCAAAAGAAACCAATAGCAGCAAACTAATAGCCAAAAGAAACCAATAGCAGCAAACTAATAGCCAAAAGAAACCAATAGCAGCAAACTAATAGCCAAAAGAAACCAATAGCAGCAAACTAATAGCCAAAAGAAACCAATAGCAGCAAACTAATAGCCAAAAGAAACCAATAGCAGCAAACTAATAGCCAAAAGAAACCAATAGCAGCAAACTAATAGCCAAAAGAAACCAATAGCAGCAAACTAATAGCCAAAAGAAACCAATAGCAGCAAACTAATAGCCAAAAGAAACCAATAGCAGCAAACTAATAGCCAAAAGAAACCAATAGCAGCAAACTAATAGCCAAAAGAAACCAATAGCAGCAAACTAATAGCCAAAAGAAACCAATAGCAGCAAACTAATAGCCAAAAGAAACCAATAGCAGCAAACTAATAGCCAAAAGAAACCAATAGCAGCAAACTAATAGCCAAAAGAAACCAATAGCAGCAAACTAATAGCCAAAAGAAACCAATAGCAGCAAACTAATAGCCAAAAGAAACCAATAGCAGCAAACTAATAGCCAAAAGAAACCAATAGCAGCAAACTAATAGCCAAAAGAAACCAATAGCAGCAAACTAATAGCCAAAAGAAACCAATAGCAGCAAACTAATAGCCAAAAGAAACCAATAGCAGCAAACTAATAGCCAAAAGAAACCAATAGCAGCAAACTAATAGCCAAAAGAAACCAATAGCAGCAAACTAATAGCCAAAAGAAACCAATAGCAGCAAACTAATAGCCAAAAGAAACCAATAGCAGCAAACTAATAGCCAAAAGAAACCAATAGCAGCAAACTAATAGCCAAAAGAAACCAATAGCAGCAAACTTGCATCAAACCCTCTGAAAGTCAAAAACTTGTCAGAACCCTTTAATGCCAATGCTTCTCCATTGATAACATATACAAGTTTGTGGGACAAACTAATACAATGTTAGGAATTAAACAACTCTTAATTTTAAAATCGGTCAGATACAAAATAATAAATATAATATTATTGTTTGGTTTAAATTGATTTTTTGAAAATTAATTTTTTTTTTGTTTCTCGCATTATTTTGTTTTTAATAAATTTTTAAATATTTGTAATATTTTTTATTTTTTAGATATCTAACCTAAATACACTTAAAAAATAAAATATTTCTAAAAAATATTAACAAAAACCAATAAATACACAAAAATATGAAAATATAATTAATTTTTATTAAAAAAAATTATTTTCAATATTGATTTTATTTGAAAATTTTCAAAAAATCTAATCTATAGATATCAATTTTATTATAAAACTCAAATGACAAGATTTTAAATTTATTTAGCATAAAAATAAATACAAAGATAAATCTATCAAACATAAAATATGCATATCTTTTATGACTTTAAAACTATATATGATACACCAACTCTTTAATAGAAATCAAATATTCATAGTGGACAATCGACACTCAAATAAGAGTATGAGATATGTGTCGGATATTTATCAATGGACTTTTCTTATATAATTACGTATATATATATTTTTTTGAAAAAAGAAACCTTTATTGACGATGAAACCTTTATTGATGATAAAACCATAAAACAAATGAGATTACATCAAATAAAGGAGTAGATAAGCAGAACGAATGATAGCTAACTATTCCAATCCCAACTAGGTTGGCATTGAGAAGAGAGTCCAAATCATCTGCAAGCTCAACCACAAAGGGTTGGCGAGAGACCAAACCCTGCAGGAGGGAAAGCCTAGAAGAAGCACTAATCCAAGAAATACTATCAAAATAGAACAGCATACAGAGCTCAACCTCAAAACTCAAGCTCAACCACAAAGCACATAGCATACAGATCACATATCAACTAGATCACACACTAGATCCAATACAGAGCACAGCAGCAGGCTGACCATAGCAGAACACACACCAGAAATCCACAAAAGCAACCAAGAAATCGTTAGCCTAGAAATCCACAGCAGCAGCCTCATGAATTCATAAAGCAGACTTTCACTTGAACTCACAATCAGCCACCTATACATTGTCTAATATGTGTTAAATTATGCAAGAAGTTAGTAATAGAAAACTAGTATCCATGAAAGAAGCTTTCAACCAAATAGCTAATTTGATGATGATTGATTCCTTCAGCTCCTCCATCATTGGTTGGATACTATTGAACAAGCATTTATTCCTAGACTTCCATATGTAGCACAAAGCCACCAGAGGTAAAGCCATCCAGATTCTCCTCTCAGATTTTTTGAATTTTATACCATCCCACTATTGTAACAAACACTCTACTGATCTAGGAACTACCCACTGAATCCCCCACCACTGTAGCAAACCAGTCCACAACTTCCAAACCAAGGGACATAAGATTAGCACATGTTGAACTATCTTTAGCTCATTTTTGCAAAACACACACTAATAAGATACACTTCCATCTAGAATTCCTATCCTCTGCAGAAAATTAGAGGTTTTCACCTTTTGTTTCCATGCAAGTCACCCAAAGAATTGCACTTTGGGAGAGAGATAATTCACCCAAACCAGTTTACTCACTCTAAACTGCACACCAGCAATTAAATCTGTCTGCTTATATAGGATTGAGACAATAGACTGACCTGACTGTGCTGCTAACCAAATAGGTTTATCCTCTTCATTCCTACTAAGTGATGGAGCCAGACATAACTCCTCTCTAAGCTTGTTAAGTTCCTCCTACTTCCAATCAAATAA